ATTCTTAACCTTATAATGAAGGGGAAAAAAATGTCAAAGAGAATAAAAGTTGCTTAGAAAAAGGAATATTTGTTCTGATCATAATTGTGATTTATATAGTGTTATGTCATGTTTTCTGACATCTTCAAAACGGAAGATTAGTTCTGATCATAATTGTAATTTATATAGTGTTATGTGAAATTTATTTCATTTGCAAATGAATTTCATTAAAAAAATTTATTTCATTCTAAATATGTAGCTTTACTAGCTTGTACTTAAAATTCATTAGTTTTAGTAGCTTATACTTCTTTTCAGTCTATAATTCATTTGTGAATCTACCAATTTATGTATAATTTAGTCCAAGCATACCAATTTTGGTATAATTTGTAGAATCCATTTACACTAAACAAGCTCTTAGCATTTTTCCTTTGTTGCTTATATAATATCATGTTTCTGCAACTAATTCTCAATGAAGTCTTGCGTTTTATTTTTTTTTATTGTTTTTTTTTTTTGACAATAAGTCTCGACAGTAAGTCTTGATGGATTATTATTTTTTTTTTTTGAAATTGTCAAATTAGTGTCATTAAAGACTAATTTTTATACACCATAACATAATGCATTTTTAGTTTGATGTAATCAAACATTTGGGAACTTTCTATGCAGCAACTAAAGAAGATTTTAGCAAAGCAGGCTGAGTTGGGAGTTGAAGTTGCAGAAATACCACCACACTACCTGTCAGATTCAGAGAAACAAGTAAAGAAACAAGTAAATGAAAGGGAAAATAATAAGAAGTTTGTGGGCAAGAAGGGTAGATTTCAAAACAAGCATGATAAAAGAGGGAGATATAACAAAATGATCGGTTGGCCAAGCAGCAAAGGTTAACGAACAATGATTCATCATAAATTTCTTCCTTCAACACAAAGATGCCAACACTTTTGCAGAAGCTTCTAAGTGTCCCCTGTCTACGAAGCCGGGTCCTTGAAAGACAATCCAAGCCAAGTGGGAAAGAAGGGAAGGTTAGGAATGGAATTCTTTTCCTTGAAAGACAATTCTTGAAAGACAATTTCCTTTTGTTTTTTGCACAACAAAGGCTTTGTTTTCCAGAAGCAATTATAAGAATGAAATTGCCACTTAGTCTTACCAGTTATCATTCCCTTCATGACAATTACCAGATTTTGCTTCCTTTTATTGCTGTCATTTTTTTGCAATAAATAACATCCTGGCCTTCTTAATTTATTGCAGATTCTCCAATTCTGGTAAAATCACCCTCAACAAGGTACAGGAAACATTCAGGTGTGTAGATTTAATGTGGGAAAATATTGTTCTGTATTTGATTCATCAATAGGGATACATATATATACACATACAAGATACTATAAACCTATTAGGAATCTAACTCCTAATAGAGTTCTATTTATCCTACTAGAGTTCATATTACAACCCTAATTAGAGTTTATTAACAGAGTTCTATTTACAACTAATCCTTAACACTCCCCCTCAAGTTGGATCATAGATATTAATCATGCCTAACTTGTTACAAAGATAGTCAACTCGGGGTCCATTTAGAGCTTTTGTAAAGATATCCCCTAACTGTTCACTTGTTTTAACGTGTCCTGTAGAGATAACACCCTATTGTATCTTTTCATGAATGAAATGACAATCAATCTAGATATGTTTTGTTCGTTCATGGAATACTGGATTTGATGCAATGTGAAGAGCAACTTGATTATCGCACCATAACTTTGCAGGCAAGGATGACTTGAAGCCAATTTCCTCTAACAACTGACGAATCCAAATTAATTCACAAGCAGATTGTGCCATAGCTCGCCAGCACTCGATCATGAGACAACATTTTGTTTCTTGCTCGTCCATGATATCAAGTTTCCACCTACAAAGACACAATATCCTGAAGTTGATCTTCTATCAACCTTCGAACCTGCCCAATCGACCTGCCCACATGCCGCATTCTGAAAGAACATTCACATTCTCAAATGCCTATGATACTGTAAAGTAGCCACACCTGGAGTTACCTTTAGTAGCACATAAATCTGTAGTCCTAAAGCTTCCCAAAATGATTAACAGTAGGAGAGACAGTAAACTTGCCTTAAGACGCTTACAGCAGTAAAACATATCTGGGACGTTGTTACGTAATAATTCCAATTTGCCACTAAACCTTCTATACATCTCGAGGATCATCAAATAGCTCACCACCAATTTGAAGTTGCAAATATTGTGAGTCATTGGAGCATGCATGGCTTGCACCCAACTTTCCAGTTCCTTCAGTAGTCAAGGACATACTTCTTTGATGATAAGAAGATGCCCTCCTTAACCGTAAGATACTTCAATACACCAAAAAATACTATCAACATCCTAAGTTCTTCTTGTCGAAACCTGGGGTTCTAGAGAAATGATTGAAGATGTAGCCGGCTGAATCACTCCCATAATAACAATCATCAACATAATAAAACCACAAGTCAGAATCAAACCAGTCTAGTATTCTGAAGAATACAGGAATGCATCAATACTCTTCTTGCATGCCAAATTGATGTACTCACTCATTGCAAAATTCTACCCAAACAAGCTCGAGACTCTGTTTAGGCCATAAAGGAGATTTTCGAAAGTTTACACACTTTACCCGACTCCCCTGACACCAAAGCCTGGTGGTTGCTCCATTGTAAATTCCTCCTGAAAGTCCCCATGAAGAAAGGCATCTAACAGTCCAGCTGATGTAAAGGCCAGTCACAAGTTAAGCTGCTTAATGAAATAATAAGAATGAACAAAAGACAATTGGTAACAGCGAGAAAAAGTATCAGGAATAATCAACCATTAGACTGAGAATAAGCCCTTGAACTAAATCGCAGCCTTGAGACGAGCAACAGTCCATGCTAGATTACCTTTACGGTGTGGAAAAACCCACTTACAACCAAAGCTTTTCTTACCTGCTGGTGAGAGGCCAACAAAGACCTTAATTACCATTAGTACAAGGCAGCCATCTCATCTTTTCATTGCTGCACACCAAACCAGAGATGGGAACAAAGCTTGATACTTATTTTTAGAATAGATGAGCTAAGGTACTTACAAACAACGAGTGATGAAGAAGAAAGATTGATCACTAACTAACAAAGATGGAAATAGGGTAGGTACACTTGCGTATTACCTTTTCGAAGAGCAATGGGGGAAGGTCTACTAGGGATGGATGGCACAGGCTCAGGTTGAGTGGATGAGAACCGGAATCTTTTGTTGAAAAACGCAGGGAGAAGTGATTCAAGAGTGGTCTCCTGTAACAAAAACTGTTCTAAACTAAGGCGTGTAATGTTGTGCAGAAGCCCGGATAGGAGCAAGAGCTAAGTCAGGAATACTCTGACAGAGGAGCAGTAGAGTTATAACTTGCTGATAGCATAGACTAAAAGGGTCATCATTCCATACCCCTCACTCTATCTATTGAAGAAGGAAAAATGGAGCATTCTAAAAAAAAATGTGACATTTCTGTTTAGAAAATCGATAACGTCCTAAACGGACGAGAGAAACAACGATACGCCTTTTTGACTGCAGAATACCAAGGAAAACACAATGTAAGGACTTTGATCTAATTTGGAAATGGCACGAAACATCAACGAACAAAAACAAGTACAACCAAAAATACGATTACAATGACGAGGAATAGAAGTTTAGAAGCAACAACAAAGACATTATAAGGAATTGCACATTAAGCACGAGAAGGCATGCGATTAATCAAAAAAACATGCAGTAGAGACATAGCCCAAAAAATGTTAGGGACCTTCAATTTGGAAATTAAAGTGCCCTAACAACCTTCAAGAAGATGTCGATCTTTCTTCTTTGCAACCCTATTTTGAGGCAGTATCAACACAAGATGTTTTAATGGGATATACCATTTTAGTGACAATATAAAGATTGGAAGGAACTAGATAGGTATTCTTAGCATTATCACTGTTGGCAATAGCGAACAAAAGATAAATTGAGTTTTAATTTATAGCACATTGAGTTTTAATTTCAGCACAAAAAGAACAAAAAATAGAGAATATCTCAGAACGAGTTTTCATTAAAAATAACCAAGTAACACGAGAATAATCATCCACAAAAGTTACAAATACCGAAAGCCAGTTTTAGAAATAAAAGGACATGGACCCCAAACATCAGAATGAACTAACTCATAAAGGGATGAAACCCATTTATTGACTCGAGGAACTAGAGGTAAACGATGATGTTTGGCAAATTGACAAGATTCACATTCTAAACTTGATAAAGACTGAAACTGCGGACACAACTTCTTTAAAGTAGACAATGACGGATGCAAACGAGCAATGAACCTCATATGAGTGAGAATTAGAGCACCAGCACAAGCCTAGGAGATTATCTGAAACTGTTCATCCAGAGAGATAAAGCCACCAGATCACGTCCATTCTACCAATAATCCGCTTCGTCAAAAGGATCCTGAAACACACACACACAATATGTAGGATAAAATTTGACACAACAATTCAGCATACGAGTAATTTTGCTAACAGATAATAGATTAAATGAAAAACGAGGCAAACAAAAACTAGAAGACAATGGAAGAGATGGAAGCCAATTCGGTATATTTTGCAACAGCCTGCTCTGGGAGAAAAGAGGTAATTAAGGAGTTATTGATTGAGAAGTTACACATTAAACGTTTCATGTTTTACTAATAAATCTGAGCAGCAGCAAACAAACTGGTACATCTAGATATATGCATCAGAGAAAATATATAGACAGCAATCAAATTATTGTAATTACATGATTTGTTATTTTTGGTGTGAAATTCAGGCCTTTTGAATATGTGAGTAGTTGGCTAAGGAGCTGGAGAATACATTTGGAAGAGAAAAGGACTTCAGCAACAGTCAAGAAAGAAGTTCAACTGAAGAGGAATTAAGCTAAAGGACATCAAGTTTACATGTAACACCTATTGTAAACACCTAACCACTTCATTACTTGTATGAACGAATTTAAGACTACGTGGACCTGATCCTCCCTTTTTTAATTAAAAAAATTGGGGGTACGTAGGCAAGCTTTCTGGAGTGCGCGTTTCCAAATTATTAATTTCCTTCAAAAAATGGAATAGGGTTATGGCAATGAGATGGCAGTAATATGTCGCCACTAATACTGCAGAACAAGCCAGGGAAAAGAAAAAAGGTAATTTCTGCTTAAAATTATTTGTCCTTGTTAGTGAAAAAAGTTTTTATAATTTAAACCTCTACATTTGTCATTTACTTTAAAAAGCAAGATGCAGTTGACTTTTATACTTGACAATTATCTTTGCTTGTATTTTTAGGCAGGCACAATAATGGCCTTTAAACCGTGATCAGGGGTAGCTTGAAGATTGTAAAAGTTCTTATTCAATTTTAGCTTGTAAAATCAATTCTCTAAAGAAGTAATTGGCAGGTATCTTTTCAATCTGGGAAACAAAGAGTTTATTGGATTGCAACGTGTTCTCTTCTCGCCAAAAATTGAATGGCAACGTCTCATCTTTTGGGATGATGAAGTTGCAGAAATACCAACCACACTACCTGTCAGATCGAGAAACAAGTAAATGAAAGGGAAAATAATAAGAGGTTTGTGGGCAAGAAGGGCTAATTTCAAAAGAAGCATATACAAAGAGTTGCAATTTCTTAGATCATTTATATGTGTGTGTTGATATTTTAGTTAGCCGTTGATCCTAAAGTGTTAAGTGTGATGAGTAGTATAATTCATTATAGACTTAATCCGAAAAAAGATTTTATTAAAGAATGTTTTTCATTCTAAGCTCAAATTAAGTATTTCGAATGAAGATATATTGAGATTTTTATCCAAGCTTCGTTGATAAGATAAAAAGGGTTAAGCTTGCACATAAAACGTAATAGAATACATGCAATGTTACGTTGAAGATCATTCATAAACATGCCTTGCTGCTCCGATCATCTTTCGTTCCAGTTTCTTCTCAAAAAACAGCATTCTTGTAAACAACACAACCACCAAGACCATAATTACACTAGTAAACTGATATCCGTAATGGGAATTCGTTCATTATGTAGCAACTCAAGCTGCACACCCTAAAAATGACAATTGCAATTGGAACGCATAATTTTCTCGCCAAACCACGTATGCAACTTCTTTCACAATTTTCTTTAGCGATTTTCATAGTGGAACTTATTTAGATTTGTTGGTTTGAACTAGAATTATAATGATTTCGGAGAAGAGAAAACCAGCCAACTCATAAGTTTTGGTTTAAATTACAGAAAATTTTATACATGTATATAGATAGATCAAATTGATTGTCTTTAAGACATCATTTATTATCCAAGTTAGATTATAAATGCGTACAAAGAAAAGATTTTACAATATATGCTTTTGGCAAAAAAAGTTAGGAGGAAATTAATATCGATAGGATTATTTTATAGTTTTTTAATATAAGATTTTTATTTAGGAATTTTAGTAAGTTTTTTAATTACTTAATTTAGTTTTATTAGTTTTATTTTTATATTTTATATTAAAGCTCGCCCTTACAATCACCACAATCTCGCTGTGATCTTGAGGAAGTTTTGTAGCAATTTTTATTAGATAAACCTAGCAAAATGCCAAGAAAGAGTGTACTAAGCAAAAAGACTGGACACGCCTTGGGGTGTTATCGAGCACCGTGCTGCAGCCTGGTGTGCAGATTAAATTCAAACTGAGTTCAGAGGAGGTCAATGTTCTAGGCATACGCTCTCTCAGTCAAGTGCCCGAGAAGCAGGCCTGCTGCTTTAAGAAGCTGTCGATTCCCTAAGCGTGTTCACCCCGTCACGGTACCGTGGTGTGCAACCACCTTGCGGACTCAGGAGCCACGCACGCCCAAACCATGCCAGGATAGTGGCCCGTGGGTAAAGACCAGATTTTGCATTTGGCGCAAAGAAACGTGTCAGGTTCTAGACTGCTGCAGCTTGCATGTGGGACCCTCACGAAATCACTTTCTACGTGTCCAAGCAAGCTTAAAATCTATTTCAACACTAGAAAAATCTTAATTTTTGCCAAGAAATTAACAATAGCCTAATCAGTCTCCTACCTCTAAACGACTTTTTGTTCCTCAGGCATTAAACAATTCTATTTTCTTAAACGAAGTCGGGAGTTCCTCTCAAACGAAGTTTAATATAAAAGAGAGAAATTTAGCTAAAATTGAGTGTTTGGTCTTCTTGAAAAATCTCTGATTTATATCTTGTAATGCTCTAGTTAGTTTTCTTTTCTATATAGACTTCAAGTGCTCAAGATTTGTGTCGAGATCAAGGGAAAGGCGCCAAGCCCATTTGGTTGACATAGTTTTTATTTCTAAACACCTCTTTTTGTTATTATTCTTTTATGGATTATTTTACAAGCTTTAACTAAAAGTATTTATTTAATTACTATGTCGAACTAAAACTTCTCATACCAGAGATTTGATGTAGCTTACTTTCTATTCCCAATTTTATCAAATAAGATTTGCTTTTCTTTATTCAAAAATATAATTTATTATTTGTCACTTAATGCTTCCAAGCAGAGTCTCTCCCCTGAATTGATGTGGTATTTCATAATCGCTATCGAAAGAAGATTTTTTGATATGGAAAAAAGTAATAAATGTACATTGAGAATAAGTAGCTTGATGCGGAAGCTATATCGTTTGACTCAGTGGCGGGTTTTCATAGCTTAATCGACCTTAGGTTATGAATTCATAAATAAAACCATAAAATTAACTCGATTTAATTTTATGTTTGATGCACTATTGGAAGATAGGTAATTAAGACCGTAAAATAACTAATAAATTAATCGAGATAGCTTTTGTTAGTGTGATATTTAGGGTTGTTTCGTACTTGAACAATATTAAAATTGATTATGAAACTAGAGTGAATTAAATTGGATAGAATTAAGTGAAGTCAAAATCCTTAGGGTTTTTTATATCAAGTGATATCTCTTTTCACTTAATATTCTTGTCTTGAATTTCTTATTCATTGTTTTATTAGTTTTCATCCATTTCTCCTTTTTATCGTTTAAATAAATAGTAGGTCTAATCACAATTTGGTACTTAGTTATTATAATTTTTTGGACGATACTTTACTCCAACTCTTTGATTACTTGGTTGCGGGTTTCATACACTTACGAAATAACCTATATTAATATATATAAAAAAAATGGATCCTAGAGTTAGAAGAGAGCCTATGTTTAGATCACTAGAAGTTATTAGTGGCGAGTTCTAACTAAGAACCCAAAATCCAGATTGGAGAATTAGCAATTCTACATTACTAAATTACAACATTTTAACAATTTAACAGTTGACTCAAAGTTAAGTACTGCACTTTGACTTAGTACGCAATGAATAGCTGCGATGGTTTTCAGTTACTCTCTGAAATTGGCCTTTTTGCCGCTTTAAGACTATCAATAATTGGACTTATTAAATCTCTCTCTCATTCTAGCTAAGGAGGAGAGAACGCGCACTATTCCCAGTCTAAAGGGAAGCAAAGAAATTTTTATCCTCGTCTCACAAAAGTCAAGAAACTAATTTTTTTAATATATTTATTGAATTTTTTTTAAAAAAAAACTTTTAGAGGCTTGGGGGCCCAATATTCCCCTCTCTCTGCCTTGATGCCCTTTATTAAGCTGCTATTTATAGGTTCAAGCAACTGTCTAATAGGGCAATTTATATTATATAGAGTGATTATCAAATTTCCTTTATGATTTTCTTCTTATATTCCATGTCGAAAGTGGATAAAAAAAAGAAAATCAATAAGATAATAATAAAAAAACTAATTATTTTTTTTTAAGCCATGGGAGTCCTATGCCCCTCCAAGCTCTCTCCATCTCCATCAGTGACGTGACACCTATTTTGGCCTTATGTGATCCTAATATCGTGAACTGCAAATCACCATGCTCCTTCATAAAGAAATGATGTTTAATTGTTATGGCTTCACGGGATTGTGCTACCATGACCCTTGCACCTTGTATTTATTAACACGATCTAATTACGTCTTAAAATTAATAGACCACTAAATTTGACTTTTTAATAATTGTAAAAGTGTGGCAATTTCCTTCAGAGGCCAGTAAATAATACACTAATCCTGTTCAGATTTAAATTAATAGTATTAGGTTATTAGCAATCCTAACAAAAATTGATAATTAACGGTAAAACACAGTTTTTACTCCAAAAATAAATCGAAACTTGCGAATGTAAATCCTTATCAGAACAGTTATCACATTCTTATTTACCCTTCTTCATCGACCTTCACCTTCCTTGATGTTTTTGGTTTGACTTGTAGTTCCGTATTTTAATTTCGTTTTTTCCTTTTTTAGCTTCCAATAACTCTACCCCATAAAAATAATAAAAAAAATATAAAAAAAAAAAAAAAGTTGAGAAGAGTTAATGGTTAGAAAGTCTTTCCAATATCTATCGCATATTGCGACTTTTTTTTGGACACTATAATAATAATGAATTCACTCTCCCGATTTTTTCCTTAAGTGTATACTTAAATAGAGGAGTAATTATTATTGCTGATCGAGATAATGAGTATGCTTTTTATCCCTCTCCTTTTTTCTTCTCTTTAAAATATTTGAGCGAACTGCGGAAAATCATAAAACTATATTTTAAGTCTTGTAGACTTCTCAACTTATGTATGTTTTCATCAGAGAAATGCAAGATTTAAGCAGATTATTTATAACCTACTCCTACACTCTTTTTTTTTCGATGAGAATTAAGATCTAATAGTTTCGGTTGAAAGTAATGTAATGTACATGTAATGTAATTCAGAATTATGTAATGCCCAATGAAAACATGATATTGGAAATGGAATGTTTAATTAACGATTTTCACTTTACTTACATTTTGGGTTATTTAATAATTGAGATAATAAGTTATCGAAACTGTATACAATATTCCAGTTTTTATATGTTCATTTGACGTATAATGATACATGTACACTATAATTTA